CAATATCTCGTTTCTCTCACTGTCATAACTCATTTAAAATAAATGTACCTTAATGGGAACTGCTGGAAATGGCTGGTGTGTCATAACTCAAAATTGGTCAAACCACTTGCCCATGCAACAAAACTGGTAAAAAAAAAACAGTGGCTAGGAGTGCTTCCTGCTCCTTGGATCTTTCAAGAACCACAAATTTAATTTTTTCCCATCCAGACCTTGGTGGTTTTAAAGGGAAAACTACTCCCATATAAGTAACAAACAGGATGCCTGAGATGGGTGGGAGAATATGTTTCTTTATAACATATTTCCATATATGGAATATATTTCCATATGTATGGAAATAGTATGTGACATTTAATATTCACGTTGATCTTTTCCAATACAAACTAGCATATCCTGTGATCACTATATACACGTGATCTATATGATCCATGACTGCCACTTCAACAGTGGAGCTTCAGTCATGAATGTTGGATGAAGGCACTGGACAGTGATTACATGCAGAATAACATCATACACCTTTCAGAATGCAGAATAACATCATACACCTTTCACATAATTAGTAGAGGGACCAGACGCCAGACCCTCAAGGCCGGTGCATGCATATGGTGAGTACCTATAATTAAGAGTGTAAAAAATTACACAAATTTGGAAGCCATAGATAAAGCAGTAGATGAACTTTTTGTGACACCTCCACATTCCTGTGCAACTGTCAGATTGGGAAGTGTATCCAGCATGTGTTTGGTATTATTTATCTCTTGGATTCTAACCCACCCCATTAGCCACAAGGGAACCTGGATGGGTTACAACAATAAAACCATAAATACAATTTAAAAACATAAATAATCAATTACAATAAAACATTAAAACAATACAATTATATCCCTGAATTGTACTAGTAACATGGGTTAGTATTTAGAGGTCCTGGCTGAAGAAGGCCCACTTACAACCCATGAAAATAGTACATGCTGGAGACAATAAATAATATTATCTTGTCAGGACAAGGGAGAAGCCACTCTGGATATCATGGAGGGTGGCAGCCACATGCCTATTAGCGCACCTAGTTCCAGGCACAGCTGGCCTTCCATAGAAGCAAAGTCAGCAGAGCTGGCTAGTTCCTGTAGTGAAGTATGCACCATATAGTAAGATAGCCAGTAAAATATAAGCAAACCAGAGTTATGGTACGATCCCATGCAAGCCCTGCTCCAGGAACCCTCTCTAAGAGAGGTAAAAAGGTCATCAACTCACAGTAGGGCCTTCTCTGCTGCAGCGCCCAGACTCTGGAATGTACTTCCCAGAGAGGTATGCCTGGTGCCAAGTTTATACACTTTTTGATGCCAGGCCAAAACCTTTTTATTTAAGCAGTATTTTAAAATTTAACAGCTTTTAACCTTCAGTCGCTCCGTTTGTTTTGTGATTTATTGTTCTGTTCTATTATTTATTTAAATTGTTGTTTTAATTGTTTTTTAAAATACTGTAAGCTGTCCTGAGATCTTGTATAATAGGACAGCATACAAAAGCTTTTACTAAATAAATGAATAAATGGTTACCCAGAAGTTCCCCTTTTAGTGTTGCTACTCAGAGGAAAGTATACAGTGGAACCTTGGCTCACAAACTCCTCAGTTCACAACAAAATCAGGTCGCGAACAGAAATTTCAGAAAACTTTTGCCTCAGGTTGCAAACTCTGCATTGGGTGACGCAGTCGTGTGTAGGGGAGGGGAGGTGGCCGCAATCATGCTCAGGGGTGATGGGAAGATAGCCACAATCATGGTCGCACTCATGCAGGGAAGACGGGTGTGATTGTGGTCATGCTTGGGGTGGGGAGGAGATGGTTGCAATCACAGTTGCACTCATGCAGGGAAGATGGGTGTGATCATGGTCGTGCTGGGCGGGGGGCGGGGGGAGATGGCCGTGATCGCAGTTGTGCTCGTGCAGGGAAGACAGGCGCAATTGTGGTTGTGCTCAGGGAGAGGGGAGATGGCTGTGATCTTTGTTGTTCTTTGTCACTTTGCTTCAAATTTTTGTGATTAAAAAAATGGTTACAGAATGGATTAACCTTATTTACATTGAACCTTATGGGGAAATTTGACTTGGGTCACGACCAATTTGGGTTGCAACCAGAGTCGTCGAACGGATTAAGTTCGTGAGCCGAGGTGTGCCACTGTATACAGAATCTTAGTCTAATGCAGGGGAGAAAACTTCTGGGGCCCCAGCCAGAGGTCACATACCAGCCCTAACTCCAAAATTGCTACTACTATCAACTTTTCTGCACTGGCAAAAAACCTGGTAATTTTGCAAGGAAGCAATAATGTCTGGAAAGTCTGACTTTTGTCTGTAAGTCAAAACTAATCCTTTTTGCAAAGCATTAAGAAATAATAATAGTATGTGCCCAGAAACTTACGCATTAGCTGGAATCAGTTGTACAGTCCACCATTGTAAAGGAAATCCAGTTTTGATGTCCTGTTAAAAGTTATTTTCCTTATTAATATTTATTCAGGGATTTCTGCCCTTATTATACTTGCATGGTTGTTTGTTCTCACCATTTTAGAGCTTTACAGCATTAGGCAACAAATGAGTAATTCTGGTGGTTCCTTAAAGGTTTTGCTGAAGAGCTGTAGCTCTGAGAAAGGAAACTGAAACTAACTTGCAAGAATTGTTCGGCTCTTCTGTATGCTTTTCCAAGTAATAAATTACTCTTTCAAAATTGTTGATTTTTCTCAAATTAAAATTACCTCCTCAGTAGTGCAAAGCAGACAAAAACAAGACAGTAGGAAAATTCCTAACTATAGCTGTTTAGATTACTTTTACTATTTACTTAATTCTATTTTTAAATTCAAATGTGTTCAGTTGCTTTTCTTAGTATCAATGTAGTATTCAGACAATTGTCAGTTGCCACAATTTCAAGTTTTACAGAAAAGGAGTATATCAACACTTCTGTGTCCTTGCTTCAGTTAAAGAAAGTGCAGGATTAGTTCATAGTTACCTTCACCTCATAATATACCATAATTCTATTAAGTTACTTATACAAACACAGAATTGTGCACTCTTACAGTATGAATGATAGAGCCATATAAATATCATTTTTACAGTTTTAAAGGAAATAGCACTGTTCATCTCTTTCAGTTTGCTTACCGAGTTTGTATGCAGACCCTTTCTTGAGGAGTGGGATATTTTTAGTCAGAAAAAATAAAGAATCCTTGTGTTTGCTTCTAGCTATCACAAAAGTCAAGTACTTTCTCACACTCATAATTTGTCATGTGACATGCAACAGGGTGGGGAGGCTTCTTTTCAAATTATACCATTTCCGTTTGTTCCAAGGTGATTAATTCATAGCATCTACTGAAAGCAAGAGGCAACTGTCTGGTTTTGTTTTGTTTGTGAATCATTGTACATCACCCAGAGAATTTCAGCTATTCAGTGGTATAGAAATAATATAAATAACAATAACTATACTGACTCATTTTTAAAGCTTTGGAGAACAGGCTTTTTGTTTGAACTTTTACATACCAAGTTATGTGTTTGCATGCAGTGGAAGCAACCTAATTCTAGAAATCCACATATAAGTATTACATGGCCAAAACTCATTCATCTTATAAGACAAGGATGCAAAATATCTGTCAGCTGGAAGAATAGAAATCTATTTCAGAGATGCTCCCAAATAAAGTAAATTTTCAAAGATGCCATATGGGTGAATACCTTGTTGTATTCTTTCCCTGTCAAGCACAAAAAATTATATAAAACATTATATACAATACAAAATCACAACAATGCAATTAAAAGTTTAAACACATGGAGATGATGTGAATCATTCTCATAAAACAAACCTCTAACTGGCTATAGGAGGAACTACATGATGATATTGCATCAAGGGGGCAATCTCCTATGCTTTGTTATTGATGCTGAAGGGACTTGCAAAATTGTAAGGAGTCTGATACAATGATACGTTGGCTCACAAACTTAATCCATTCCAGGACTCTGATCATGACCCAAATTGGTCATGAGCCAAGTCAAATTTCCCCATAAGGGTCAATGTAAATAAGATTAATCCGTTCTGCAACTATTTTTTTACTCACAAAAATTTGAAGCAAAGTGACAAAGAACAACAAAGATCGTGGCCATCTCCCTCTCAGCAATCGTGCGTGGGGGGGGAGACAGGCGTGATTGTGATCGCGCTAGGAGGGAGATGGGAATGATCGCGGGCACGTGGGGGGGAGGTGGGCACGGGGGCGGGCACACTGGGGGGGAGGTGGGCGCAATCTCAGCCATCTCCCCCCCCCCCGCATGACTGTGATCATGCCCCTGCAGGGAAGGTGGGTGCGCTCGCAATCGTCACCCAATGACGAATTCGCGACCTTTTATGAAATTTCTGTTCGCGACCCAATTTGGTCATGAACTGAGGCATTCATGAGCCGAGATACCACTGTATTTTATACCTGGATACATGTTGTCCCTTTTCATACAATAAATAAATGATTTTTGGATGAATTTGTGGGTGATAAGTAATAACTTTCCAATGGACATTTAACTAATCTGCTTATGAACTTTTTTGTGAATGCAGTAACTGTATTTTGGCAAAATAAGCCTGTTATTAAATGACATGGCAGGGCTGTAGAGTTGTAATTTGAATATGGGTTTTTAATCTCTCTTCCCATTAGTTAAGCCAACTTTCTCAAAATTTTCCTCCTTAGCAAAATTTTTCTCCTGTGATTTTTCAGTCCTTCAATAGGTTACCTAAAAATGAACAGAGATTAGGTTTTAGGTGGAAACACAGCTCAATAGAATAAATATACATGTGTAGGTATGTATAAATATGTCCTTGTTTAGTACTTGGAAGAGTACTGAAGCATCATCTAACAACAAAGCACCATAATACAGTGTAAACTGTTTGAATGTGTTTTACTAGTTCTCTTTGTTATTCAAAATCTCATTAAATTTATTACATAAATTATTACATAAATTCATTACATAACTTACTAAATTACTTAAATAATGAATTCATCACAGTATGTATCATGCATCAATATATACAATTGATTATCACTAGAAAATGTAATAAAAACTGTCCAGTTTCCAGCAAAATCCACTGACTGCCTTTTTTCATTCATACAAATATAATTAGTTCTGAGTAGTTTTTTCCTCATTAACATATTATCACACTTTGTTGAAGCAAGTTGGACTTTTAACTTGCTTCAATATTTATCTAATATAGTACTGGGCAAACATCAAGGGGTGTGGGACAGATGGTGTTCCATTCCTCAGATTCTTAGATCCACCCAAACCAAAATACATGTATTCATGCAGTTAATTATTGCTTATTTTTTTAAAAAGAAAATAGCTGACCTCTTCTTCTACCCCATAATCTAGATTAGGAACATGGTGGGGAATGGATTAAAATTTCTGCCCTCTTTACCATGGTCTCAATCTAGACTGGCAGCCCCTATGGTTGCTAGTTATTAGAAAATACAATTAATGATTCTGTATATAATGCCATGTCCATTTTATCCTGTACTGTCAGGGCTTGTCTTCCCATTGCCAGTAGTTGGTTTCTGAAAATGGCCAGCCAAATGCATTTGAGATGACGGGGATGATGGGCTGCATTCCCCCTGTTGTTTTCCCCTGTTGTTTTCTAGCTTGTATTCTAGGGACAGAAGGCAGTTGCTTTTGAATATAGGGATACAGTTTCATGACAGTTTCATGGCTGATAGAAAGGGCTTCCAAGGTGGTGACGGTGGTGTTCAACCAGAAGTTTTGGATGGGTAAAACCAAGGGAAGATAGAATAGGGAATGGCTAGAGGGGAGATTTGTAGCACTCCATTTTCATGGAGGTACTAGTCACTGCTGCATACACATTACATAGACATAGAAAAATATAAACATGCATAAAAGCGTATATGTTTACATTGCTGAAATATAGCATTCACAATGATTGGCTTATACATCAATTGCAAAGTAGTACTTAATGTTTTAGGTTCATTTTAGAAACAGTAACAATTTGCTAACAAGCATATATAATGCTAACATATAGCTATTTCTCCTTGTAAACTGTGCAGGTAAAACCTTAAGCCACATTCATCTCAATTAAAAACACAAATGAAATAGCACAGAATATACCTCTAGAAATGTGGGAAAGAAATGCAATCCTACCAGATTTCATATCAAAATCATGGGGCAACATCCAACATTCCACATTTTGTCTTTGCTCACCGGATTTCCAACATGAATGTGCCATTGTGTAATGAGCAGCTCTTTCTCAAAAATACATCCAGTTTAAACAAGGTCAATGCAAAAACTTTAGAAATGCAGGAATAAGGAAATGTTTCTGCTTGTTAAACTTGAAAAGGCTTTTTTGTCACAAGTGGCAGTGTGAGCTTTTCCCTTCCTAGCAGTTGTTGCTTCCCCTGTCGACTTTCAAAAACCTGTGTCTTCATTATGCTGTCATTTCCATTTCATGTGCCACTATGGTTGGGAGGAGGAGAAAGGGAAGTGAGATTTAGTCATAACCCCTAATCCAGAAGAGTATGCAAGTTTCGTTTCTGAACATTCATACCAAATTCTAGAAGGACAGTCATGCTGATTGCAATTTTTAGGGAAGGTTTATTGCTTAGTGCTAGAGCACTTGCTTTACACATAGAAAGCCCCAAATTCAAGCCTTGGAATATTTAGGAGGGCTGGAAGAACTCCTGCCTGAAACCCTGAAGAGCTACTCCCTGTCAGTACCAGCAATATTAAACTGAATTGACCCACGTCTCACTCAATTTAAGGCAATTTCTGCTTTTCCTGTGCATGTTGTAGCAATATTGACACTCTAGTAGAATGCCAAATGATAATTGACATGCAGAAATAAATGTTATTGAAATATTATTATACTGTATATTACCAGACCTCCTCTTCCTCCTCCATGGGCTTTCCAAGCTTTGTAACCATTTTGGTGCTTTTTTCCCTATTGAGGAAAGTCTGATATTTCCCTGAATGGCAGCAGGAATCCCTCATGTATTCACATAATTCTGTTGTACCACAGTACCACCCAACAGTTGTGTGATGGAACATACAGAAAGGCAGAGAAAGAAAAGCCATAGAAAAAACACTTACATAAATCATCCAGACTTAATCCCACAAAGAATCTGGAAGCAGAAGCCTCACAAAGTGGTGGATTAAAGTCTTTACATAAGGCTGAGCCTTACAAGAACAATGCCAGCCTTTTAGAAAAAAAATGCATAAAAGCTAGGAAACCTCTAAGCATTTTGTGGCTGGGGAACAGAGACTCTAGAAGGACAGGATTTGAGCCCTAAGCTTCTGCCTCTAAGCTTCTGCAAATGGTTTGCAGGGACTGGCGGTTGTTGTTCAGGGGTTTGGACAGGAATCTTTATCAGCTGCATCTGGAGGCCTTGAACCTTCAGCATTTTTCAGGCAAACCATGAGCTCTACCACTGGGCTTTCATTGCTCAGCATTGTTTATTCTGGTTGCTTCCAAGTATCTCAGCCAGGCTTTTCCAGAAAACCTGGGGACAGAAAGAGATCACCTTCTCACCCTGGATTGAAAGAGCTGGAGATTCTCACTATTTTATACTGTTTCCATAGCACACCCTTCAGTGGAAATCTTATGTATGAGTCATCTTTCCCCACATTTTCTGGAACTCAGGACAACATGGGTGTGCAGAAGCACTGAAATATTCTCATGCAGAGAGATTCTAACTACAGCTACAATCTTTAACCCATTTGCTAGTGAGTGTGTCTCATGGAACTTAGTAACATTTATCTCAGGATAAATGTGCATTAGACTGTGCTGAAACTCTTGTGGAATCTTAGCTGAAAGAAGGCTTATAGGATGGACAACTCTGCATGGCCCAGGACCACATATGGTTCTCTTGGGGTGCAAATCTAGACCTGCAGTGATCCCCACAGGGCTGCATCACTTCCACCCATCCAGCAACCTTGTAGTGGTTTCAGGTTTATTTCATGGTTTCTAAACAGTTGAAATGCCTTGCCCTAGCCTGAGTTGCTGGCAGTAACCTAAACCTCCTCCAGTATTTTGGCCCTGGTCTTTTTGCCCTTGGCTCCACCCCTTCAAAATTCAGCCCCACCCACCACTGCAAGGTAGTCCCTGAATGCTTTGTTGAAATGGAATTTGCCCACCCCATTTGATGAAGGGAACTCAGAGCTGGAGCATCCTAGTGTCCCATTCTCAGACTACACTTAGCAACAAGCAGCTCCTTCCTATGTTCATCCAAAATCTGTCCTTCTGTAATTTAAGCCTGTCCTTGGGGGCAACAGCAGAAATCTTTGCTGCCTTCTCGGCAACTGCACTTTAGACATTTGAAGAATGCTGTCACTAGTCTTCAAGTGGGCCTCTCTAAAGATTAGTTTGTGTAACTTACTTTTGATGTTCTTGAGGTTGTTCAGGAATGTCGAACAACTTCATAAACTGTATCATTAACATCTTGGCCATGCAGAACATCAGAGTCAGAAACAGACTGACTTGACACCTGAAAGTAGGAAAAAACCACTTTGCCCAAGCAAGATCAACACAACAAGTAGAGAGCCTGAGGTGGGGTGTTGGTTTAGAATGCCAGACTGAGGACATGAAGCTGGCAATCTTGGGAGTCATCATCTCCCAGCCCAGCCTATTTCACAGAGTTCTTGCGAAGATAACATGGGAGGGGCACATCTACCACCTTCTACTCACTGGAGTAAAGGGAAGATGGAAAGCTATAAAATAAATATTAGGTTTTTTTTTTTTTTAAGAAATGTGTTTACTTAAACTAGAAACTGCAAGTTTGTCTGCCATTGTAATGCAAGAGACCTAAATAGTACCTGTTACCTTCCCCTTAATATACTGAACAGATGCTTGTTCATGAATCCAGTTGCAGCCAAGAGATATTTTAAATAAATGAAAAATGAATAGTATCTTGTCTATCTCCTGCTCCCCCACCCAGCTTTGGTAGCAAGTTAAGTCCTAACTATGTTGCAGAAGCAACATGTTAACTTGCTAGCAAGACCATAAATTCATTAGATTTAAGTGGCTAAATCACTAAAAATAAAGATGTAACAATAAAATAAACAGACTGTCTGTCTTATGTTGTGTCTAGTCTGCCCCAGCTCTGTTTTGGTTTTTTGTAAGATGAATTTTGATCAGTACATTATTTTACAGCTTTCATTTATTTGATTATATTTTTATTCTGCTTTTCCTCCAGGGAGGTCAGTGCAGCATACATGATTCTCAATTCCATTTTATCCCAACACTGTAAAGTAGGTTAGGGTTAGAGAGAGGTCACTCTGTGCTTCTTGGTTGAGTGGGGATCTGAACCCAAATCTCTGCAGTCCTAGAATGCTCTAGTCAGTCACTGCAGCAGATGTTCAGCAGATCTACTTAAAAACAAAACAAAACACTGCAATTCCAAGTCCCACCAACTGGAAAAATAATGTCTCAAGAAAAGGGAGGACATGTTTTTAGAATTAAGGAACAAGAGTAATTCTGAGCACATGTTCAACCCAAGAATTTGTGTTTCGTACCTCAATTGGGCTCACAATCTTCAGACACAGAAATCTATTCCTAATTTTCTACCCAGTTTTCTTCCTCTCAATAGCCAAATTTAGAAGTGGGGGGAAGCCTTGCTGTTGTTAAACAATTTTGGCACTACACAATTCTGGTTATATATATTCTATTCTGGTCAGTTTTCAGTGTGTCCCGACACATGTAAGATTTATAAAGTTATTTTCACAGTAATCATCAAGAACTAACAATGCAAGAAGCAGGGCAAAAAGTGAGATTTAGAGTTGGTGTTGCTAAAACAAACTTACTTCTCTATAAATCTGTATTTATAGTTTCTGGTTTTGAACACCTTCAAAGTCAGTCATCTTTGTTTTGAGCCAACTGATGTACATGGTTACTATGAAAAGGTTTTCAGGATGGCATACTTTATAGAAATATATTTTTAAAATAATGCAAACACTTACCCTTGAAATTCCAGTGGGGTCTGGAAATGCAACAAATTCATATATTCCAAAATCATCAAGTGCATTTTCATGCCCTAAAATGTGGGTATTTAAATGCACAAAGAAAACATGGTTATTAAATTTGGGCAATTGTATCCACCACAACTTTGACCCCCCTCACATAATACTTAAGAGTGGATATGTGTGTGTGTTTCACAGATTGTCAGCTGTGCAGAAAAAAGCAGAGAGCCCGAGCCTGTGGGCAAAAGAGGATTATGAGGAGGTAGCAAAGAAGCACAGGGCATGACCAGGATATGTAGCCTTTAGAACACAGAGGGAATTGGGCAGATCCAACCAAAATGAATCCTATTCCTCCTGGCCTAGAATAACAATGCACAGTTGGGTAGCATAGGCATTCGCTAGAAATAGCACGTGACAGATGGTGGAGACTGCAAAAACACGTGTGGCATCACGCTTGCCTCTCTCCTTCAGCACAAAGTTGATGAGACACAGGAAATCTATAACTGGTTCTCTCTGCATCTTTCTTTTTTCTTTCTTTCTACAGCTACAGCCCTCCACAGTTGGACTGGGGCTATGCTGCCAGGGGAGGGTGAATATATTCGGAAGAATGTAAGAGCCCTGCTGGACCAGACCAAGAGCCCATCTAGTCCAGCATCCTGTTCAGTTGCCAACCAGCTGCATGTAGAAAACCCACAAGCAGGGCATGAGCACAATAGCATCTCTCTCACACACAACTGCTTTCTCTAGCAATTGGGATGCTGCCTCCAATATTGGAGGCATATGCAGCCATCATGACTAGTAGCCAGGAAATAATCAGGCACCCAAACAGAGAAATCAAAACTTAGCAGATCCATCCAAATGGGCCACTGTGGAAAATAAGAAAGTAGGCTAAGGAAGCAAAACACTATTGAAAGGGCGCACAGCCCAGTGGGAGCAAATGGACAAGGGCCCCTGAAGTTGCTGCTCTTCATCAAAGAAAGCTGCTTTTTTACTGCCTCTCACTCTGTCCCAAACAAAAAGGCTGGGGAGAAGGAGGAGTTGCAGATGCCACTGACTCCTTCCTTGTCAAACCAGCCAGTGGCATCTGTGATGGGGCGGGGGGGGGGGGGTCAATGCAGCTGGTAAGGCAGTGATGGCAAAAGGTAAACTCACCAAGGGCCTCTATGGCTTCTTGTGCAAGGGCCCTGAAAAACCTGGAACTGGTGATGCCTACTCAAACATAAAAAGAAGCAAGTTGGATCCAACCATGGATCCATCTAGCTGAATATTCTGTTCATGTAATGGCCAATCAGTTGGCCAGGAGATGCCAACAAATGGGACAGGAACACAACAGTGCCTTCACAGTCATGTTCTCCAGTAGAGAACATGACTGGTGTGGAAGTTAAGCATGTGGGGCTAGGGCTCAGGAGATCTGGGTTCTAGGCCCCGCTCAGCCATGGAGCTCAATGGGCCAGTCACAGACTCTCAGTCCAACCTGCCTCACAAGGTTGTTGTTTTGAGAATAAAACTATGAGGAGGGAGAGAATCATGTAAGCGACCTTGAAAAGGAATAGAAATAAAGGATAAAGGGTGGGATATGAATATAATAAAGAAATAGAAAGACTGTGTCCTACAGTAACAAACTCTTGACTGTGGCATTCTTATAAGTTTACCTCACAGGGAAGAACACAATTTAGATGCTTGTAGGGAAAAATGTTAGTGCTGGGGAAGTGATGCATGAACATTTCATTCCCCTTCTGCTAGCCTTCCCTCCCCTTTCCCACCCTCCAGATTTTGCTTTTAAAATAACCCCTACAGGTGTATTGATTCCCATTTAATGCTTTTATTACCTGAAATGGTTTGTGCTTTTCGGTAATCTGCTTCAGGCCTAGAAACATTTAAAAAATCAAACTATTTAAAATGCAGTATAGAGTCAGTAAGTTAGGAGGCAAAAGATACCAATTTTAAAAATGCTTTCTGTAGGTTTGGTAGGCAAAGAACAATTTAGATTTTCTTACCTGTTCTGTAGCTTTTGTTGTATAACTAAGAGAGAGAGATGGGGAGAAATGGATTTAGTTATTGCAATAATTCACAGAAACACTGAACATAATTGATCATTAATTTAACATACCTTTATGAGGCTGAAATCTTTTCCATAAAGTTAGAATGCAAATTGATACTATCAAAAATAAGGAAATTCCAGTTATTAATCCTAGAACTGATAAGTAATTTCCTTTTTGGGACAGCTGCTCCAGTCCTGTGTCAGAGAAGAAGTTGATATATGATTAGCGGTTATATTCGCAGATTAATTCCATAAAGGCCTAATGGCAAAGTATTGCATACAAGATGACTTTGGAATCAAACCATTACCACTGTTCATATAGCATACATCTCCCTGAAATTGCTATTTCTAGTTTAGAGTGTGCATCTCCCTGGTGGAAAATAGTTTTCAAGTACAGCTAAAGTAACCCTAAAACAGTATAAGTTTTTTTGTTCTGATTTACTTTGCTGGAATGATGGGAGCAGAACATGACTTCATCTCACACGGACACAAAGCAGATCTGGGACAGGTGGTGTTTCCCAGGCTTGGTTTCTCAGATAATGGTGGACTACAGTTTCCATCATCTGCAGCCATCCTAGCCAACAGTCAGAGATAGGATGGGAGTCACAGCTAACATCTGGTAGTCCAAAATCTTAAGTTTGGGAAAGGCTGGAGCATCTTTAGTGTTGAAAGGAAGCACAAAAGCTTTTTGTAAATATGTGCATGGAGGGAAGTAGTTCTGGAGAACACCAGTAGACAGCCTGTGAAGGCTGCCTAGGGTTGGAATAAGTATTGGTGAGATTTGCACAGCATTAAGTTCAAGTTTCTTTGTTTCACTCTTCAGTTAACCGTGGCATTGTTTTTCAAAGCGTGTAACAGTGAATATTAGTGTCTTGCCTTCTTTCTTCTGTTTTCTTGGTTGTGTTAATTCAAGCATAGAATTGTGGAATAACAGAAACTCAACAAAACTGGCCATATCTAAGTAAAGAGTGCTGAAAAGGAACAACCCAGACTAGATAGAAAAAATAATTGCTGCTTTAGCCTGTACTGTCTTATTCACATTTCGCCTTAGGTGCACCTGAATCTGTGCATACCAGGCTGCTAGTATCATTTAATAGTTAAGTGCAAGTAAATGAGAGTATAATTGTAGAATCATTTGTGTGCGTGTCTGTGCGATGAATTGAATTCACAGATAGTTTTCTTTGTGGCAGTACTAATTCAGAGGACTGTTGTAGGTTTTGATTCATAAGTAGCTTGAGTCAGGACTAAAAATACTCAATTACCTATTCAGCCAAGGCAAGTACATCACCTTACTTACCTGCATGATTAACAGAGTTCTGTGAATCTTTGTTTTCATTATTTTATTTTTTTTAAAGCAGTTAATGGCCACTAGAGAGTGCTCAAGGGTTACTCTCACTACTTCTGGCTAGCTTGGAGGACAAGCAAAAGATCCTAGCAGCTGTATGGAACTGCAGGAGAGAATTAGTGCAAAAGGAACCTAGGAATAGTGGAAAGGGTGGGCTGAGTGAGTGATAGATGGCGAGAACATGAAGAGAGTTAATGCAATATAGAGAATGGACTGCAGATGAAGGAGGCAACACAGAAAATCCAGGGGATGTCAACTAATAAGGAAGCTAAGAAGTGAACATGCACTGGAAAAGAAGAGGAGCTACAGATTTTAGAGGATAGAGGTCAGCATTTTGGAAGACTGCAGCAAGAGGCTCCACGGCAGTGCCATTACTGTATGCATTTTTCAGGTGCTGGGGATATTGTAGGGTGCAGGATGTAGGTGTAGGTGCAGGTGAGTTTCCACTGAAATTTGGGATCAAGTGGCAATGCACTTCCAAAAATGTCAAATTTACCTTGTTTTTAAGCTAAATTTGATCCCTTTGGCTCTCCATAGAAGCTGCTACACATGGTAAACTGTAAAAATTGAAGCATGGCTTTTCTGCCCAACAGCTAAATATTTTCAAGGAGTGGTCCAGTCTCTCCTGTGTTCAGTTCTGGACTTCTATATTTAAGAAAGATGGGAAAAAATAGGGTCCAACGGAGGGCAACAAAAATGATCCAGGGTTGGAAACATTGCCCTGTGAGGAGAGACTCAGAGAACTGGGCATGTTCAGCCTTGAAAAGGGAAGACTGAGGGGGGACATGATATCCCTCTATAAGTACCTCAAAGACTGTCACAAAGAGGAAGGTTAAGATGTCTTCTCATTGATACCAGAGTGTAGGACACAGAATAGTTAAGTTGCAACAACCCAGGTTCAGACTAGATATCAGGAAAAGTTTCCTCACTGTCAGAACAATATTACAGTGGAACCAGCTGCCTAGAGAGGTGGTGGTCTCTCCCACACTAGAGATATTCAAAAAGAAACTGGACAGCCATCTGAGTGGGATGGTATAATGTGGTCTGCAACAGCAGGGGGTTGGACTCGATGGCCTTCTTGGTCCCTTCCAATTCTAGTATTCTTTGTTTCAAAGCAGCTTACATAATCCTTCTCATTCTCTAAATTTTATCCTCACAGCAAACCTGTGAAGTATGTTGGCCTAAGAGTCAATGACTGGTTCAAAATCACTGAGTAAGCCTTGTGGCTGGGTGGGGACTAGAACTCGGATCTTCCAGGTCCCAGTCCAATGGTCTAACCACTACACAACACCGCCTTTTGTTGACCCTATGTGGCTAGAAGTCTCTTTTATAGAGTCCTTGCCCCCCCTTCCACTACTTACACATTCCTGAAGTGTCATTTTTATCTACTTCTTGCTCTGCCAATTTTTTCTGTAATTACCTATCTTGTCATTTTTAAAAACCAAGGAAGTGTTTGATCCTTTTGTTTGCAGATATTCCAGTAGAACCATATGACATTCTACTCAACTAGCTAGAAGCTTAGGTTTATTTTTGGAGGTGCACCTTCCTGCACCCCAAATGCAGCTCAGTAGAAAGATATTGCTCTGTTGAGTTCTGTGCAGGAAAAAAGCAACTTGGTTCATCATGACATCTGATTTGATGTCCGTCAAAGATCCTGTCTCTTTTCTGCTTTTTTGAGATGTGGAATAATGTATACTCTACAGACAGTTGACTAGGACATGCGTAACACCAGGGGCATCTGCGTCATATATTTAAATCTTGAAAATAACAATCACTGTCTCAGCTCTGTGTGCCTCTTGCTTTCCACCTCACTTTTGTTAAAGACTGATGTTCCTACTAGTGATTCAACACTGCTTTGTCAGTCTTTCACTGGCCATGTTTCAGATGCACTATCCACCTTTAGACTATTTTTTAAAAGTGCCATGTTCATGTTTAGCTATTTGCAGCATCCATGCCCAACTTTCTTCCTCCTCCAGTTTTCAGACTTGCCTTTTGTGCAACCTGGAGCTGGGAGACTAAGTCACTCTAACCTAATGGCCAAGGGGAAATTTGAACGCATGTCTCTAACCACTTCACCACACCAGCTTGATTCAGTTTAATGCTCATTTAGAGAACAATGTGTGGTGTCTGGAAGACCACAGGATAGACTGTGCTCTGACCTCAAAGCTGGGAATTGGAGCTCTCACATCCCTCCCAGTGCACAGTCATTGTGGGAAAAACCACACACAACACTGCCGTCTGAGGTTGGGCATTCAACCATTCCTGATGCCTCCCCAACCTGTTTTTGCCAGATCAGCTGGCAGCCCATCTAGTAAAAATGCAAGGCAGGAGAAGAGGGAAGCAGAGATCACAGCTGCTGCTCCTCCCTTTCTGACTTGGATAGCTGAAAACTTTGGGAGCTCACAGCCATTGTGATAAGATTGCAGTCTTAGTGTTGAATTAAAAAGATAAAACTGCTTGGTGCAGCTAAGGAGAGGAAACCAGCTGATGTTGCAGTTGCTGACTAGTCCATGCTGTACTCTAGTGCCTCTACTGCATCATCCTCATAAAAGGTCTTCATGGAGCTAGATCCTATTGAGGAGTAAGTTTGTCTTGTCAACAATATGGTCCCAGAACTTCTCTACACGTAGCATTTAATGAAGAGGCTTTACTGAGGCTTCATATTCCATTTTCTTTGTGGGAGTAAGAATATGTTCTTGACATGTGTTTATTTTCCCCAGAGCTTTTCTTTCCCTACCTTTTAAAATGTTCTAAAATGTTTGAAATGTTCTTTGTACAACCACAAGGTAGAACTGCAGAATAGTGCAATGGGGGAAATCAGGTGTTTCTTTTAGCATAAGAAAAAAAATTTAGTATGACATAATTTTGCTAATCATGGGCTTCTTGACACAACACATTTATTAAGTATTTGTGATTTTTTAAAGCATTGTAGGTTGCAGGGATGATCCATGATATCAGCATTCTGTGGTGCTTTCAAGTATTTCTTTACTCTTTTGGAAAGAAGAAAACATATTATTTAGGTAACGATAAAATGAGCCAGTACTTTTCTGCAATTGTGTTATATTGCAGCACCACCTTGTGGTTGTCGTAGAACATGAAGAAGGCAGAGAAAGGACATCCCTGTGGGGGGAAGCATGTCAAGGATGCAGTCGTACTTCTGCAAAGAAAACAGCAGAAAAAGCCTCAGTATCATATGGAGAAGCCCAGGAGCTCTTCTTCATTCTAAAATGAAGTGAGGAAAGGCTTGGAAAGCCTGGAGGGATAGAATGAAAAGCCTCTGCAACCAGCCATTAAGGAATTATGAGATCCGAATAAATGTCTCATGCAGAGAAGCTCCCAGAGTGCAACAGCTGCTCATTTTATTGTTTTGCATGTCTGCATGCACCTCAAATATCCTCTGTGGTCTCTCTGGTGTGTACTTACCTAGTATATACATGAGTGGGCATATGATTGACACCAGTACAAAATTATATTTGTCTCTCCAAGTGTGTTTAGTTAACTATACATATTCTCATATCTTATCAGGTGCAAACTGTAACCATACCTTAATAACATTGCAAGCCATTTTGAGTGATAACTCTCTGCAACAGGACAGTACAGTGTGTTATATGAAAGCCCAGCGTCTTCATTTTTGGTACTTGTCCTAATGCTGAAACTCTGCCCATGATTCTAGAGTAATCAGCAGCCGGGAAATGAATGTGCTTGCACATTTGCTTTTCAGGAGTCTGGAGAAATGCAGAAAGGATGCAACTGCGTGTGCCTCCCACGTAGGACCATGTGAGTTCCACATGTGAAGACAGATGGCAATCTGAAAGAATGTCTCATCTAACTTGTGTCCTCTAGCCCAGAT